TCTCTCTCTCTCTCTCTCTCTCTCTCTCTCTTCACTGCCCTCTCTCCTACTTCCGAAATGTATCTCTCGCTCAATCACGCACACATACACATACAAACACCCACCTTCGCACACGGGAACGCAGACCTAAGCTGCTCCCTCCTCGGCACACACGCACACTCGTTGTCCGGTCTTTTGCAAAGGATGATGCAAGTAAGGGGCGGAACCGAGGAGGGAGCAGCTTAGGTCGACCAGAACACGGCCAGCCAGCAGGTTAGCCCTTCCTCCACAGAGCTCTTCTTCAATGAACAAACCATGAATATGAAACAACAAAAGACAATGACCGTCCTTTCACACCTCCCTCCCTCCCATTTTCCATCCCTACCTTCCTTCAAGGCAGAGTCACAGGTTGATCCTACTTCCTACTTCGTCCTTAATTACTAACACGACGTGTTCATTAATCATCAAAAGCCCCAAGCTGCTTCATATCCTCCCAGAACGCGGTATAAGAGTCATCGATGCTGGCAGGCTTAACAGTGGCCGCAGAGTTCACAGACATCCCTCCCCCCCCGATTCCTAATGATGACGCAGCAGATCCAACGGTTGCAGCAGCAGAAGAGAAAGCTGAAGAAGCCGAGGAGACCCCCATAGGTTTCGGCTTTGCCTTGGGTGCCGCAGGTTCCCGCCTGACTCGTACTGAGGCTGGGACCATTGACATCAGTTCCGCGCTGTTATGAGCGGGTATTCTCTTGACAACGGTCGTGGCGGCTGCCTTCACGTACGTATGCTTGGAAGCGGCGGAGGGGGCGGAAACAGAAGCAGGGGCGCTGATGACCGCGCGCCCGCTTGCGCCGCCGCCGCCCCCTACTCGGGAAGCGGCCACTCCTCCGGGTGGCGTAGCTGATACACCGGCTGCCGCATCTTCTCCCCCTTCGCTGGCAGAACCTTCCGTTCGATGGGGCGGTGTAGCTCTGGGAGGGGGCCCCGACGGCAAAGGCGGTGATGGCCCCACGTGGCCAGGAGCAGAGGGAGGGGGGTTCGCAAAGGCGTCCTGGGGAGGGCCGACTCTGAGCGATGGAGGGGGGGGGCCTGGCGGAGGGCGCATGCCGATCAGATCCGGCGGGGGGCCCGGGGGCGGAGCGGCGCGCAGCATTGGCGCAGCAGCAGGCACTGGTCTACCAGGGGGCGGCGGGGGAGGCGGAAGCCCCCGCGGGGGAGGCGGAGGTGGCGGCATCATCGGCGGTCGCAAGCCGCCAAGCGGCGGACCAACCGATCGTAATACCGCCGCCGCCCCCGGGGGCGGCGTGGGAGGCGGTGGCGGGGGTGGTCGCGGAAGGCCACCGGAACCAGTGCTACCCGCTCCAGGTGGCGGAAACGACAGCCCTGGCGGCGGAACATCAGGCCCTCCCGCACCTGGAGCTCCCACCACTGGTGCTCCAGCTGGCGCTCTCAGCGCGAACGGCGGCGGAGGCGGAGGAGGACGCCCTGATGGCAGAGGGGGGCGCGCTGACGGCGGAGGAGGAGGACGCGCAGCTTGTAGAGGAGGACGAGCGGCCGGCGGAGGCGGCCGAGTGCTCACGTCCGATTGCGGGCTCGATGGAGGAGCAGCTTTGCCTACCACCCCTGGAACTCCTACCCCCTGCGGCAGCGGGGATGCCCCCTGCTGCTGCTGCTGCTGCTGCTGCTGCCGTGGCGGCGGCGGCAACGATGCTGGCGCATTTTCCCCTTTTTCCTTCCCTGTTCCTGTTCTCGGATGAGTATCTGCTTTCCCTGGAGGTGGTGCCTTGGGCACAATGGCAACCCCGGGGGGACCATCCACGTCTGTCTCCTCTTCATCACTAGATTCCTCTTCCTCTTCATCATCATCGCTCTCCTCGTCCGAGTCTGATTCCTCTTCTTCTTCCTCCTCCTCCTCCTCCTCCTCCTCTTCCTCATCCTCCTCCTTTCCCGCCTTCCCCTCTGCTCGCACTTCAGCATCAGCTCCATCGCCCTTCTTTCCCCCCGCATTGCTTTCACCTTCGCCTTGACTACTGCTGTCTTCTACAGATACATCTTTCTTGTCGGCAACAGCTTGGGCATTGAGAGGAGGCGGGGGGGGAGGGGGAACGGGAAGCGGGGGTACTGCCAGTCCAGGGGGAGGAGGAGGAGGAGGAGGCGGCGGTGGAGGAGGAGGAAGTCCTGCGCCGGCAGCATTACCAAGATCCATCGTGCCCTTCGCTGAAGGATTCGAAGGCCGAGGCGGAGGAGGGGGAGGAGGCGGGGGCGGCGGAAGCGGTAGAGGCAAAGGGGTTTCAATTCCAGATGCGCTTGAGTCCCCCCCACCTGCTGCTGACGCCTTGACTTCGGCCACCACACCTCTCTTCGTGGCTGATGAGGGCAGAGGAGGTGGAGGCGGAGGGGGAGGGAGCGGTAGGGGGCTCATATCCTTCACATCCTTGCCTCCCTCCGGTCCCATCGACGACGATGATGACGACGATGCTAACCCATGATGCCTGTTCATACTGGACGCCAGATTCCTCAAGGCCAGTGTCCTGTACATGGGCGGTTTCCCGGGGGGGGGGGCGCCTGTCGGATTCAGAGTGGGGTGAAAGTACACAGAATCTTCTGGTCTCAAGGACTTGTGATTATCATCTTCATCGTCCTCTTTCGCAGTCTTGCGACGGGGCGCTGTCAAATGGCTAAACATGATTGGTTCTTCCCCCTTGTCCCGCATCTTCTCCTCATACTCCCGCCTTTTCTTCAAGACCAGATTCAAGGTATCCTCCAGCTGCCGCTTCTTGTGCCGCCTCGTCTTGTCCAACGCCCCGTCCGCCTTCATCATCTCCAGCTTGGCGATCTGCTCTCGGATCGCATCGGGATCCTTCTTCAAGATCCCGACCTCCCTCACCTTCTTCCTCTCCTTCTTGTTTCTCTTCAACTCCTTCTTCCTCTGCTCCTTACGAAACGCATCCGTCGGATTCATCACCTTCCCTCCCTTCGTGGTCTTCATTTTGCCCGCCTTTTTCTCTCCCTCCCTCCCTCCCTCCCTCCCTCCCTCCCTCCTTTCCTCCCTCTCTCGATCACTCTACCAGTGTGGTCCTCTCCCGTCGAGATAGAACACAAAACGCACACAGACGACAAGAAACGCAGCAGCAAAATCGATTAATCAAAGTCAATCAACTGATCAACGACGAATCCAGGGGGGGTCAGGTCAGCATATACTCGAGGAGGAGGGGGCCCAATATACGTCAGGTTTGTAATGTGTCAGGCCCTACATTTAGTTGCCCCCCCCGGCCAAACTAATCATCTATGGAACTAATCATGTGTGGGCTCAATAATAGGGGCCACTTCTCCGGAGGGGGCGTCACGTGGCTTTTATAGACAGCCTGTGACGTGGCAGATAGGATCATTCTCTGAGAGTACAGGATTCCGATCTTCATTAACAAGTATACAGCCGGCAGCTAATCTGCCTCATCGAGCTGCGGCTTCCAAGGGGACCGAGAAGGAGAAGGACTGCACGATCGCGATAAGGCTGATGGAAAGCAGATACGGAGAGAGAGAGAGAGAGAGAGAGAGAGAGAGAGAGAGGGAGGGAGGGAGGGAAACGGAGAGGAGATGGTATTCACGCAGCCTGCGATTCTGACGACAAGGACATTCGCATCGCCGCTGGCAGTTTCCTGTGGTCTAAAGAGGTGGCACGCTGTTGGCCACGTGGCTTGGGACGAGTGCGTGTAAATCAACGAACAAGTTGGGTACTCCAGCAGCCATCACGCAAATCAACGGTCGTCGTCGCGTACGAGAAAGGGAGGACGAAGAGTACACGGATAGATTACCGAAATCAATCAAGTAATGGTCGACAGATGGACACGTGTCAAGCGCTTAGAGAGCCTTGGCACCAGCCTGCTGGTGTGATGTCCCACAATGAAATCCGGCACCCCGGTCTTTCCCGCTGCACCTTTGATCGATTTGGCCGCTTTCCCCTGACCTTTCTTGACTTGTCAAGTATTCGATGAACCTCTCCACTTTTTTACCATTTGATCAAATGGATTCGATCAATGATCAACGACCAAATCTGTGACCGATCGACGACAAACTGATTGGTTAATTGGTCGATTGATTGATTGATTCATTCATTCATTCATTCATGGAAGTCCCTCGATCCATGGATCGTTTGATCGACAATAAACTGTACTGTATTTCTTGAGAGAACGATAGGGACTAGTACCCTCCTAACAAATACTACCAGTACCGATCGACCGGATCGCAGGATGGGGCCACGTCGGCGAATCGGATTGGGGGGAGGTGGGAGGTGGTTTCAATGTGCACCAAGAGTAAATGCAACCCCATTTCGCGCGGAAAGACCAGGAACAGATCCCGGGCTCAGGTACGGACACCGGGGGCTAGGTCCCACTTGCACGAATTCAGAGATACTGACCGTAGATAGCAAAGATCAACGGCCGAAATCTCCTAATTTGCGCAAGTGTGACCTTGCCCCTGGTACTGACCAGCGAACCGTCTGAATTAACCACTACCGCTATTCGGGGGCAAGGTCCCACTTGCGCGGATTAGGAGATTTGGGCCGTTGATCTCGGCTATCTACGGTCTTTCTATCTCTTAATTCGTACAAGTGGGACCTAGCCCCGGGACATAAATGATGAATGAACATCACCGGTTTGGGTGGACCCGAGTGGCTACCGACTGCCCCCGAACACAACGCACCCTTATTTTGGCCGTATCTGGCCAGAAACATAGCTTGTATACTTTCCTTTTCAGGGTGCGTTATGTTCGGGGGAAGACGGGTAGGGCCCGGCTCGGCTGGGCTACTTGCAGTTCAGTTTCGGGAGGCTTGGGCCGGCCTGTGACTGGCAAACGCGCCTGCAGTTCTACGTTCGGCCCCACGTACGAACCGCGCCAAAAACCACTCACAAGTCCAAAGCCCATAGGGCCCGATCTGTTCTGTAGGTCGTACACTCTTCTGTATCTACGAATACAGATCCAGGGCCTGAGTCGCCTACCTTAGTTCAAATCTAGCCAGCTCAGGCCCTGAATCCCAAGCTCTATGTCCATACCATGTTGGGGTGTTCGCAGCCCATCAGGGATGCGCTTTCCCCCCCTGAGATTGACTTACCGTGAGGGCACGGGTGCACAGCCCGTAGTTCGTTTGTTGATGTGGTTTGAGAAGGGTATGGTAGTGATTATGTTGTATGTATGTTTTGTTGTGTTCGCTATACACAACTCGAAGAGAGTGTGTGTAGGGTACGTGTGTGTGTGTGTGTGTGTGTGT